TTCCTGCCAATAACGCAATTGAAGCGGTACTAACCTCGTTTAATCCCTCTGAGTTTCACCACAACGTCGTTGATTATGCGAACTCTTCTGGACAGCTTCACGATCGTTTAGTCACTATATCGACTGGACACATCAGGTGATCAGACCCCCTGTCGAAAATAATCGTTCTCTCCTTGACTGGACAGAGCACTAGGTGAGCATACTGCAGATTTCTGGGGTGTGCTCGGGGCACAACAAAAAACAAAGGCACCCGAGTATTTACGTCTGCTCCAAACACCGTCACCCAGCATCAACATCACAAGCAATTATAATACTTCCCTGCGAGATACCGCCTCTACATATGCCGAGCTACGTCCGCTTTCTTAACTTGGTGTCTGAGTTTCATATAGCGGCATTAAAGAGCATGCATAATCAACCCGTTCGGCAGCTTCATCTGTCACATGATTTGCCTAACGGACAACATACCGGGTGACAAGAGCAGTGTCGTCAGTAATTTCTCCCTTTTGAGTTATTTTATGTGTTATACATTCTTCTGAATTAGACCTACCTTCTTTGGCATATTGTTCCTGTATATTGTGTATAATTTATAACGAACGCTCTCATCCGCGAAGGCGTGGCCCTTTTTCCGGAGGGGGAGTAGGGTCGCGCAACGAGTGTCCGCGCGCGCCCCGACGCGTAGCTGACTTGTAAGCAATCCTTGATCTCCTGGTGACTGTGAGGCTATGGAAGCGGGCGCCTGAATCGCCCATCCCTGTTTTTGTCTTGAGCGATCCAGTTTGAGGCCGCCGTCTCCACGCCACTCTTTCTACAGGTTACGCCATTGTGTGAATACGTTGACTAAATCTGTGTGTGGTCATTTCCCCTAAGTTGAATCCCAGCACAACCACGACACCTTTTTGGACGTCCTATATCGTTTTTGGAAGGTTCCCTCATCTAACGTGGGTTACCAGAAACGTTGAAGTTGGATTCCAGTTTGAACTTATTTTGACTTTTAAAAGTTATTTAAACGTTTTTTTGTAGATTGCAATTTTTGGCGAAGTCTCTTTGCGGCCCTTATTATTCGGAGATTGTTTTTCTGGGGACTCTGTTGTGACCGCCGATTCCGGGACTCAGTTCGATCACCCTGCGATCCAGGTATTCCGATCACACGTGCGCACTGGCTCCGGTCACAGGTCGCGGGAACCGCTACGTTTGCCCATTGATCGTCACTTTCGGCGGCCCTCCTGAGCTTCGGTGCGATCGCTGTAACGACCACGATCAGCCCGGACTGCTCCCCGTCAGCGGACGCTATTACACACTAGAATTCGACATTAACTCGAACCGGGGTGGGTTTGTTTTTCAGGGTTACTTGGCTACGGAAATGCAAAGGTCTCCCGGTTTTGAAATAACTTCATGAAATGCATTGAGAGCACATTCATTCGCGAAACCCGCGTTGTTCGCTAGGTCCGCGTTCGTCGCAAAGTTACACCGTTGTCGAATGAAGTTGTTGTCAGGCGACGCGTCGCGTCGGCCGGGAGGATAGGTTAACGCCCTCCACAACTGTGAAAGTCCCTCGAGACGTCGACGGGGCCCAGGGCCACGCCTGTGGTCCGCACTCTGCCTCGCTCGTTGCCGTTCACGAGGCATCGCACCGGCGCAGTCCGTTCGTAACGTCGAGCGGTGCCGCAAACGTCCGAGATTATGATAAATGCACCGGATTTAGTTCCGTGTGCAGAGTCTATGGCGTGTTTTTGTCACACTACCCTCTTTCACATATCACTTCTAGGCATCTCACGGTGTGACCAGATGGCGAAAACGTGACCAAAACCTCAAATGGCATCGAATTCAATTAATAAATTCTACCGCCACTATCGCCAATTTCAAATCTGATATCAAAATTACTCAAAACAACATCGCTGATTCAATATGGCGACCGAAAATGACAAAATGTCTCCGACGAGATACATCCGCCCATCAGATTTTTTTCATAAAATCTCAATCTGCTGAAATTTGCAATAAAATTTGCTTTATTTAGAAAATAATAAAGAACTCTATTGCCCGATATCAGCTATATATCGTTATAAGCAATACTTATTTCTACAAAACCACTTGGACCGAACGCCTAGTTAATTTTACTAATGAAAGGTGCCGCGAAAAGGTACACAAGCAAAAAAGTAATTATTCACAAAAAAAATCTGCAGAAATATGCACTGAAAAATCGCATTATTTGTAAAACATTGAAATACTTTATTGCCTTTTACCAGATATAAGTCGTTAAGCGCATTAGATATTAAATTACAATCCCATGAACTGAACGCTTCGTTTCATTGCAGTAACGCAGAGTACCGCGATGAGATACACACGCTCAAAGTAAATTATTCACAAAACCTCAAACTGCAGCAATTTGCACTGATTACTTTATTTATAACAAAATGAAATACTCTCTTGGCTGAAATCAGTTATAAAACTTTATATTCGGTGTAAAAAGTATTCCACAATTCAAAACTCTGTTCCATACACCCAGAAACACCGTCCAATGACAAGTTATTCTGAGAATTTTAAACTGCCGTGTCCGGGCGCTCCACTTTGCATTGCAACGTGGTAGCTCCTGAAAGATATTAGCAAAAGAAGTATGGGAAATTACCTTTTTCTAAAGAACTTATTTTTTAGGTACGTGTAGTGCTACAATATGGCACAGACGTTCTCGTACTAGTCAGTTTCTTTTTCTGTTCAATCAGGGCTATCGTATCAAGTTTGTCCCACCTCCTTTCAGCTGTATCCTATTGGCGCCTAAAGGGCAGTTTGGTCATTTTTTTTTCAACTTTCAGTCCCTTAATTATAAAATTGAACTGTCTTAAAAATATTGTAGAAGAGTAGAGCCTAGTACACTATGGAAATTTTCGTTGAAAAATGTTTCAGCATTTCAAAAAACGGGTTTTTGACATTCATCTTAACCCCAAACTTTTGAGTTTTCGAGAGAAGTATAGATTCTTCTGAGAAATGATTTGAAGCAAATTGTTCACACAACTGCGATAGTGTATAAAAATGTTCGAAATGTAATGTGTATTTTTATTTCACTAACGTGAGACATTTTTCAAAAAATACATTTTGAACGCGACTGCTACAGTCTGGCGATATCCCACGTGCCCCGCGCAAAAACGATGTTAAATTAGCCGCTACACTACATCCCACTACAGAAAGCATCTCGTATGTTATTAGGGGAGTAAAAGGGTCTTCGGAGAGTGGGACGGTGTCCCAACAGAAGAAATTGCAAGAAACGGTGCGAAGTCTGCATTACTATAATTAGAGACAGAGGACAACGCAAAATCAAGTATGGAGAGAGCACAAACTCTGGAGAATGATCTACATAAATAATTAATGAAACGTTTACGAAGCAAACAATTGAAAATAAATGTTTTTAAGAAAAACCAAGGATATTGAACTTTTCAGTTCGTGTTGTTAATGTATTTTGCTGTAGAAACTGTCTATCTCTATATTAATAAAATCGATCGTTGTGGAGAAATCCTATTTAATTTTGACTTCATCGGCTATAGTTCACTATAACCGGAGTCGACTGTATACCTTTAGTTTATAATGCTCCTTAATGTAGTAAAACTGAAGGCGGAAACTTGCCTTCACCGGAACAAAATCTCAGTATCTATTTTCCAATGCAAAGTATACTGAATAAGCCGGAAACCTAACGCGGAAACGGATAGGAATTTGTAGTGCGTCGGTATTAAAAATTCTGGATAAGACTGAAAACAATAAATTATTCAAAATTAAACATTTACTTGTTCGTAAGGATGGCGATATCGTACTATGACACGATCTGAGCCCATTCACTTTTTCAGATACTCTCGTGCGAACATATTTCCTATGCTACCCGTACTACTGTTTATTTGTAATTGCACTGGCCTTCATATGCGCGGGTGAAGGAAGGGGAGGCGCCAAGAGCGATTCTTCCACAGTTCTTGTAATGAGTGCTTTGGGTTCAGTGGTTTTAAACACTTGCTGTTGTTCAGTTCAACGAGCGGCAGGTATTGTGCTTATGTTTATTATGTCGGCAAGTTGAAAACGTTCACTCTTGGTGAGAAAATTAGACTAGATGAAGAACACAAACAAAACATTTCTATCAAGGTTTTCATAAAGAAATTTAAATATACAGAAACTCAAACATTAAAAAGACAAAATCAAGAATGAATGGTTAAAAGAATTTTTTAAACGTGGTTTCCACAATATTCACGACCCATCTTTTCCTACAAATTTTGAAGAAAAATCAATAGTTTTTTACTTTTTATGGAATTCTTTGTTTCATCGGACTGCATGTTGCAATTCAGAATGTTACTTTCTTTGTCTCTCCTGGGAAGTCCTCGTTTTTTGAAATCTAGTTTTTAGATGAGATAAACTACTTAAAAAAACCTATTCCATTTTTGAATGATTGCGTTTTCTGAATTGACTGATTTTATTGCAAACCTGTATTAGAGTGTAGAAAATGTTGGACCCACACTTTTCCGGCATAGGCTTTTGAAGGTAAGCTTCTGTTACGTCACTGTATATGTATTTTTTTGAACAACTTCAAAAGATACTTATACCACACTTTAATTATGATGATGATGATGATAATGATAATTATAAAAATAATAATAATAACATTAAGCCAGACCCAGTTGCGGCAGCTGTCGTTTGCACCGAGTCAGCAGGTTCGAGTTCTTCATAGGCATGGTTGTACTTGTGATAGTCTCTTCACCCCTCATCATTATCCTATCACCACATCATTTATAATTCAAGGCGAACAACCTTGTCTTACCAAAGGATACAGTCGAAAAGCTGTTACCCATAATGACACACATTAATCTCTCTGGGATAAATAGTCTCTCCGAAGATAACGTGTCCTGTGGTCATAAATGGCCGATAGGAATTTAATTCTGAATACTACTGCTACTAATATTAATGATAATAAAACAAATTCGAGAAATATCAGCAAAAGGAAAGTTAGGTAAGCAATATTATTAAAATGAAACTTATACGTAGGTAGGTGCATCACTTTAATCCACTTGTATAAAAAAGTTAGATGTTGACAAAAACAAGCCAGAATCAACAAGAGAAATATAAAATAACATTTACAAAAATCAGTCTTTGAACATAAGAGGAAGTAAAACTAAAGCTTATAAGTACGTGCACATTTCACACTATAATTAATTACAGCAATAAAAATATTAGGTAAACCGTTGTTTCAAATTATCTACATATGTGTTCAGTAACACTACATGATTATTTGATGATGCTATGCATTCTTCCAGTGATAAATCCTGAGTACTTTTTATTAGTTCTTCTTGTACATTAATTTGTTTTTCAGCAGTCTTTTCCACGTCTTTGTTCTCTTCAGGTAACAACACCTAAACAATAAAAACATAATTTACATTGGTAAAACCAACCCAGTAATTGAACGTCATTTTGAAGTATATAATTTCTTTTCGAGAAGTTTACTAATTCAAACATTTATTAATAAGGACACCTATCTCTTAATAAATGTAATAAATATTATCAAAAGTCCTGTCAAATTAGACAAAATCAATGAAACAATTATAGGAGTTTTGAAATTTCACATGATTGTTCATTATATACTCATAATGTTTTATGTAATTTATATGTTGGCTGTGAACACAATTTTTTACCAAATATTGTATTCAATCCTTATCAAACAAAGTACTGTAACGAGTCATAATTTGGTGTTTTATATCGTCCATGTTTGCCGTCAATATAACATGTATAAAAAGGATATATTCAAAATTTTCAGTAACCTACCTTATTCATATCAATAGTGTATACCATAGAATCATTGGCCCCGAACAAATAATAAAAAGATATTATTTCTTTCTATTAATTTTATTATTATTATTATTATGTTATTAATGGAAATTAAAAACCATCTCAGATTATTACTTTTCGTACCTGAAGTAATCTCGGACCCAATGACTTCAGATACTCACAAGTATGTACAAAATTAAATTTGATAAGATACGTTGAATATATAACTGAAATGTTCATGGTTTTGAAAAAATTTCAAATACATATTATTGATAAATGTGAATAAAAATTAAATTACTTCTGTGCACCGAAAATATCATAACATCAGTTTTGTAAAGAAGATATCTAAAAATGATCCTTGTAAATAAAAACAAGAACTTTTCAAACCTATTACTTAAAAAGGGTTCATTTTTGTCGAAACATTTGTAACAAAAATTTCTATTAAATATCTAAAAATCTACATTAATTTGTATAGAGAATATTTTTCTGTAGGACTGATAGTTATGTAGATATATGCAGAAATCGTAGAAAAATCACCTTTAAATGACACCCTCACATGCTCCAGGTTTTTCAGTATATGCGGTAGGTACCAAACATGCCAAGTTTCAAAACTCCAGGTATTTTGTTCTCTTTTGATCATCAGTTTTTGGTCTTTTTTGACTGGGCTACAAATGTGAACTGTAGAAAAACACACACTCATAACTCATGTGCCCCTCTCACTCCCCCTCAGTATGAGAAAATACAAATGGTCATCAAGAGTAATTTTTGTAAGTACTTAGAAATTAACAAAATTACTGTAATGATGATGAGTAAACAGCGAACAGGAATAAATATTCTTACAAAAGTGCCTTACAACAAGCACTTGATGATTGAAAATTAGTAATTGGTGAGAAAAAATTAATTGGTGTTAAATTTGTACGTTTAAAAAGTTTTTGAAATTATAGACAGGGAGCTTTTATTATTGAAACTATTTATGGAATAAAGAGAAATGTGCCCAATCTTATTTACAGAATAGGGAACAAAAAGGTAAATTTAATTATGAAATACCACTTACAATTTTTAACGGATTGAAGGGAAAATATGTGTAAGCAGTACTTGATTTATAAAACTTTACGATCCAGACCAAGCCCCAAAATTAAACATTAATTTAATAAAAATAGTTATATATTTATAATATAATTTAACAATTTATTCCCAAGGTATCGGAATACCATTCCGTCACTTACTGCCAGAAATCAAGCATTGCATATTTGCATTGCTAAACAAATGCACTATGACAAAAACACTATGGTGACAAATCAGGTTCCAATTGGATGAAACTGTCAACAGCAGATACCTACCAGGGGCAGAGTTGCAAAAATCGCAGTATAATACCTCAAATAGACCCATGGACAAAATGTTAACACAGACAAACTGATTACTATCTGACTTAGATTTTAACTGGACACTGCCAATTTCAAAACTAGTATGCTAAAAGAACATGGAAAAGCAACAACTGTATATACTGCAACATACAGGACACACCATATCATACTTTTTTCACCTGCATTCGATAGGAGAAAGATAGACACTATGCATGCCAGAAATTCACAGAAGAAATTTCCTTAACACAATTGTAACCAGTCAGTAAAATTGGAAAACAATTGCGAATTTAGCTACTACTGTTATGAAGAGAAAAGAGGCAACCGAAAGACTATCGGAATAAAATTAACAGCACTGTCATTGAAGTGAAAAAAAAGTACTGGTAGTAGTAATAGTGGTACTAGTAGTACTAGTATTATAAATAGGGGGTGGAGTGGTATTAGTAGTATTACAAGTATGAGGTGGATTTTGATGACCTGAAACCTAATCATCATTTTTGATGCCTCTTAAAATGTTTAGAAAATGCTCTAAAAGCTAAGAGAAATAATGTAAAAAAATTGATCAAAACCAGTTCAGATGAACAACTCAAACTGTTGTGTATGTTACTGAGTATTATAAGTAAGGGGTGAAGTAATATTAGTAGTATTACAAGTACGGGATGGATTTTGTTGACCCGAAACCTAATCATCATTTTTGATACCTCTAACTAAATTATCATTTTTGATGCCTCTTAAAATGTTTAGAAAATGCTCAAAAACTGCTGAGGCTTCCTTTCATTCAAGTGAGCCCAGATTGTAAAATTTTGTATCGGACTGTTCTTTACCAGGGTTCTCTTTCTTTGGTTATCAAAAAATTGTCAGAAATGACAATCGCGCTGGTAGGCATTACAGGTACCTTAGATTACGTAGTACTTACAACAGCTGACATTACAATACATGAGCGAAGAAATTGAATTTATTCAGAAATTCTGCGGTGAACATTGGTACTATTAAAATGATATTAAAATCAATGGAATCAATGAAAACTAATTTAAAAATGAGGAAAAAAGTTAAAAAATGATTTATTATTCAAAACCAATGAAAAGTGCAATATAAGTCTAATAAAAATGGTTCATTTCCATAAATTTCACACAGTTCATATATTTGAACATTACAAAGTGTTTATATCCTATTTATTTTATAAGCTGTCATTGTTCTTAATAAATATCATCTCTCTGTGGCAATTATAGGTTTTGTTAGTGAATAAACAATTGTTCCTGCATTGGTGCAATCTGCGTGCTGTGCAAGTAATTACACATTGGAGAGGAATGTCAGTACAAAAAGGTGAAGTCTACAATCAATGCAAACAATCACTGTTCAATTCAACTTTCAATCCAGCAGCCATCTACATGATTAATGTTTAATATTGAGCAATGTACTTCTAACACACTTGAAACATAATTTTATTTCTTATCAGTTGTTTCTACTTACCAATATACTACCAAAGTCAGAAACTAATAAAGCTAAATCATTATTTAACTTGTGAAATGCTCTGTTTAAAACCTCATTCTCAAGCATTAAATCTTTATTATTAGCTTCAAATTTACATATTATTTGTTGATACGTTTCTTCTGTCTCAGCTGGTCTGTTCATAAAGTAAAAACAAAGTTATTAAAATAATGTCTATTAGAAAATAAATTAAGTCAGACTTGCTCACAAATTCATACATTTTGGATGCTTTAATCTCTTTAGATGTGGCAAGCTGCCGGGATTTACTTGCAGATCTTGATCCAGCTGCCTGTTCCAGTTGAATTTGGAGTTTGTTGATTTCTTGCTCTTTCTTACGAATGTCATGAGTATTCTTTTTCTCAATGTATTTAATCTGACATTTTAATTGCCGAGCCTGCAAAACATCACCCACAAAATTGTGAAGAAATATTTGAAAAACACTACATACTACTACATACATTTGTACTTGTTGAATAAAATTTTGTTTTATAATTTATTGAAATATTCTGAAATTGGATTTCTACCTCATCTGACTGCACTTTGAGTTCCTGTTGTGTTTTTGTACACCTTTCCATTAAGCGAGTCCCCTCTTCTTCTTTTTTAAGTAAGGCACGATCTTTGTCACTGATGTCTCTTTTCAGTCGCTCAACAGTTGACTGCAAAAAGAAAACAATATCGGGGTGTGAATTCCAGAACTCTTTTACGAGAATGATAATTCTACACAATGCTACATAAAATTCTATGCCCCATACAATACTTTCATAAATAAACATAAAAATTTAAATGTCATTTCACAGGAATCAAACATTTCTAGAATTTGAAATATATAGCTGTAGTAAGTAACATCTCAATGAACAGGACCAATTTTGTTTCCCTTCTCTCTATTTAAAAATAGCAATGCAACATTGGTTTTCTATGTGCTGTGGCACAGAGGTGTATCCAGAAAGTCATTCAAGTGTATGTATGTGAGAGCATGTTGAGGGAGGGTTTATTTTGTTCAATATATATATTTCTTCTATATATTTTTGAAATTATAATAATAATGAACAGTTGCCGCACATTTTTCATGCTTAAAAAGTGTATTAAATTCTTCTAATAAGATATTCAAGTGAAAAGGATTCTTTAAAGTAAATTTTAAGAAATAAACCTAATGGGACATTGGTGGTGAATATCCTTGCCACAACAATCAAACTTGGCATATCAACTGAAGGTTCACACTGACCCAGTTATAGCATACAGTAATTATACATGTATAGAATTAGGTTTATTTAAAAAAGTTTTGATTTTGCTGAATGTTTAATGGTTTCTTTTATTATACATTGAGTACATTGCCTGTGAACATAATTCCTTCAATAACAATTTTATAATCTTAAAAGAAGTCATAAAAAAGAAAATCAGGGAGGGTGATAAATAAAAATGTTTATAAAGTTGATAAATGATAATTACTTTTAAGGCACGATTATCATCCATGTCTCTCATTCTTTTCATCTCAAGTTCTTCAAATTCACGCAGCACCTTGCGATGTCGATATAGCATATGATATGATGCATTAACTAATGACTTAAGGAGTACTGTAGTTTCCTTCAGGCACAACGAGTCAGTTTCCTTAATATCGGGGAGGGATGGAACTCCATACAACTCCAATTCCTAAAAATGATATTAATAATAAAATTATAATTACAATCCTATATTTGTAAATCATTTATTAAAAAATAGGTTGACATTCAACTGATTAAAAAAAGAATATGGACCATACAGCAATTCTGTCCACAAGTTATATGAAACACTTACCTCAAACAAATCCCCAATGGATGTCAGAATATTTTCCAATGAGCAAGACTCCTTAATAAATTTATTGCTTTCATCTGACATTTTGAGTTTACTTCAGTATTTAACTTTGCAAAACGGTATTTCATCTAATTAACATGGGTCGGTTTTTATTAAATATTTTACGAAAAATAGATTATTAAGTGAGTCATTTCATCTTCCCAGACTGCAACGATTTATAACCCCTAAAGTAAATAAACACCAACCCCCATCCATTTTGTACACACAAACGTTCCCCCACCCCACTTCCCGCACAAGGCGGGATAAAGCCAATGAAAGTTTCATATTTGGATGTTCTTTGAAACTTCACTTTGCGTCCTTAACGTCTGGTCACAGTATAACCATATATTGTATTCATTCATGGCACAAATGTGTTATACTATGGCCTGGTGGACACAACAAATGTATAAAAGTGTATTTGTACTTAGTATTAATACATTATTATTATAATAACATATATCAATTGATTTACTCTACATTTATAAGTTAGAAAAATTGTAATTCATCTAGTTAATATGTTCTACCTAAAACCTAGAAGTTAAAAAAATTGTAATTTATCTCATAAGATTTTACTTTACCGTATACATACGTAGTATGTACGGAGTAATATACGAGATACAGAGAAAGTCATGTTGCGGCGGAAAATCGAATTCGAAATGTTCACGGAAATACGAGTTTTGCGGTCCTCTGATAACGAAAAAGTACTTTTTTTTTTTCAAAACATCCGCCTGTGAACAGTACTAGCGGCTAACCATACGTAGGATGTTTTCCAAATTCAGGAAACCGGTGTCAATCTGGGTCGAGTCGAACCCTTGATACTCATTAAAAAACAAAAAAAAATACATTGAAGAAAAAATTGAAGACAGATTTTTCCTTGAAATAAAATGTGTTCTTTATAGTAAGTTCTTTCATTAACGTCATGTACATTTTTTTTGAAAACTGTAGAAGTTTTCGCATAACATTGCGAGCAATATATGCATTTTTTTTAAAAATTACAGTAACAACATTTTCTCAAAAACGGTTCCAAATTTTTTCTTCAAACTTTAGGTAGGGATAGTGCTAAATGTACTGTATAAGATGACATGGACGCCATATTGCTCAATTCATTTTTTGTTCACAATATGTTACTTGTTACTGTAAGAAAGTGGAAGAAACGTTTGATTTATGCTCAATAAAAAAGTACTTGAGAGGATGGGTCCTGTGAAGGGGAAATTCCAAACACACTTTCTAAAGAAATTGGATGATTAATGTCTTTTTACAACAACCAGAGGAGCATGGTAGGTCTTGGGATCCTAAAAAGACCTCAAAGATAGAAGTGCATGTAAAATTATATTTAGTTTTTTACACAAATTAATTATTAGTAGTATTTGTCATTGGGGTTTGTTGTATCTATGTAATGGTGTTAATATCTAATATGTTTTAAATTCTGTAAAAAAGATTTTCATTTTATATCCTTTCTCCCTGTAATCTCCACTTCATTTCCAATTTCACTTTATAAACTTTTATAATAAAATATGAAATAATATGAAAATAATATTAAATTAATATCGAGAGAAATTGGTAATAGAAATGAGGGTTCCAATCCCCCGCCTCGCTACTTAGTTTCTTTGTCCTTCGGTTCACGACGCCACCGTCGTGGCTTTCACACGCTTTGGCTGTTGTGACACGTTTATTTTTTTAATACCTCTTATCGCACTCTTGTGCGACGTGCGTTCGGTGTAGAACGAAGTGTTGAATATACTCGTAAAATACTCTCTAGTGTTGACTGTTTAATGCCGTTGAACGATGTGAGCAGGGCAGTCAAGCAGTGCAGTGCAGTGTGGTGCAGTGCAACCAGCATAAGCAGATAAGCAGAGGAACTGAGCGAAACTGAGGGCTGATTGAACGTGTTGGACACGTTTCGAAGCTGTGTCAAGTGAGGCGGCGGCGTGTCATTTTTAAAACACGCTGTGAAGGAAATGCATGTTTTATTAGTGGAATTTGCTATATACTGAATTTTAGTGGAGTGAATTTTACTTTACTTCAGAATTTTATACTTTCTCGAATAATGGTGAGTTTAAAGTGTAGGCCCGATGGGCTGTCAGTTCATATATGTTATAAATGCAAAAAAGTTTAATTGTGGCTCAGTTTTTAAAATTCATCCCCACATTTAATCTTTGTTTTGCTTGTTTCAGGCTCGAAACGCGGAAAAAGCTATGTAAGTACTGTGGGTATGAGAAACTAGTTGAAGAGGTTAAAGAAAGGGAATTAGTTGCATTGTATTATTTAAGAATTTGGGATTGGCAAAGTGTTGAAATAATAAATTTTATTCGCTAGTGTTTTGAAGAAAAACAAAACAAACGTATCTGTTCCTCTTTTGGTATCAATATCGTTTGATATTGTTAGTCTTTTTATCTGTTAATGAAATTACTTATGCCAAGGAAAACATTGATTTTACTGCTGCCATGAGAAGCTTGTTCTGAAATGAATTATTTTATGTGTAACTTGGTAATATTTCATGGAATTTTGTTTGTACATAAATGTATGATTGGCCCACATTTCAAAACCTTGAGGGCCAATGAACAGTGTTAAAAGTTGATGCTAATTTTTCCCCCATTTGCATATATTTTTATTATTTGTTAATCTCTTTGTGAATATCATCACATCATCCTATATGTCTTGATTTCCAAATTTCATAAGGGTTGGATCTTTTTTGATAAGGGGTAGCCAACAGATGTGCCCCAATTCCTAAACCCTGAAGGTTGCATATTCCATAGGGATTATTTCCTGAGGTGAACTGGTTTGAATACCTTTAAATACCCTGGGACTATCCTACACCATTTATTTCAGTTTGCCAATAAATATATATCACCTCGGAAGAAAATCCTCACATACAAATAAATCCATTTCGATGGCCATATTGCCCCATCCTTGAGATGCCTCAGTATGTGGTATGGAGCCTTCACAATTTGGAGCAAACATTAGGGTCTTAGCTCTATATGAATATTGCCACTAACACTTACATTTCTTATTCAGGACCACTTTAGCCAGGTGGAGAGCAGCTCAAGTTAATGATATGGGAAAAGAAAAAGAAAGACGACCATATCTTGCATCAGAATGTCATGATTTACCCAAAGCAGAGAAGTGGAGACTTCAAATTATTAGAGAAATTGCAAAAAAAGTGGCTCAGATTCAAAATGGTAAGTAGGATTTTTGGCTTTGTAGTCTTGGTTTTGAATTTTTAACTATTGTAAGAACAAGAGTGGAAATAATTCAATGGTGAAAATATATACATTAGCTAATAATTGTGTACTTGGTTTATGAGATGAATTTGACTGAACTTCTCTCTTTACAAACATTCTATATTCAAATTTGTGGAGTTTGGAGTATTTTATTGCATTTTTCATTAGTAACTCACATACAGCTTTAAATAAATTCTGTTTTTTGTAAATTTTGAATTCTACATCTTTGTTGGATGATTTAGAGCATTCACTACAGACTATCAGGTGTTTTCTCTCTTGTGAATTGAGAATGAAATATTTTCTAACAAAATAAAGTAATTGTTGACGTGTGAAATGCAATTTCTGTGATTGTGACAAAAATTTTATTGTCTTATAAGGATTAAATATCAAAAACGATGACTCTTGGAAATAATATTTTATTCGATATTGTGAAAAACATTCAGATGTTTGGTTGATGGTACCCTATTCATCAGTGCCATTGGGGCACAATATATAAAAGCTTACATGATAGCTTTAAGCATTACCACCATCAGTACATTCATCTTCCTGCTCTTAGACACTGTAACACACTTTCACAAAATATTCCTTTGTTTCTTCCATCCATCTAGTCTTCTGTTTCTTTAAAAGTAAAGTAATTATCTACATTACAAATTTCCTGTGTCTGCAGAAATTGAAAGAAAATTGTGGAGGCTTCAGCCATGTGAGAGGTGTGTATAGTTTGATAGATGCTTAGGAAAAATTCAAAAACATCTATATTTCTAGTATGTGCAGAAATAGAAAGAAAACTATGCAGCCTCTTGCCATGTGAGAGGTGTACTGTATGGTTTTGTTAGATACCCAGGAACTCAAGGAAATCCAAAAGCAATGTAATGATTAAGATTTTGACTGAAAAACTGAAATATTCCATTTTTCTTTCAAATTTGTGATGTTGCACATACTGTCTGAATTCTCATATTCAGTGCATCTGTATATGTCACAAATGACATCATGCAACAGCAAGGCTCCAAAAAAGAGATCACCTGCCATTGAATATTTGCTATTTATGTGTTTCGTTCTGGAACCGCTACTTTTTTATATTCTTGGTATGTAAAGAAGTGTACTGTATTTACAAAGGTAAGTGAATAAGCATCTGATCTTTTATTGTAATCATCTGTAGGATGACTACAGATTTGTGCTCTACCAACCATAAGATTCACCTAGCTTATGATGAGTTTGTTTCATCACCTAATGTTCATTTGAGTTACTGTGGTGTAAATATGGCTGCAACCCTTTCCATTCAGATTAAAAAAGAACAGGCTTGTTAAAATCTAATGTGTGTTAAAATCTGAAATGTTTAGAAGACTTACCACAATGTGGGTGCAATGTTTTTCCATGATGAGTTCACCAGAGGACTGAATCATTCAAAAGCTATTAAACAAGCAAACAGTAGAGAAAAGAGCTAGATGTCAAGCATCATCCATTACTGATCCTTATTGAGCAAGCTCTTGCCTTGAATACCTGATGAGTAGGGGGAGGATTGTAATGATATTATTATTTTTTATTATTATTATTATTATTATTATTATTATTATTATTATTTTCACTTTAGGGCAATGTTGTTTAGTATAGATATTAATTTTATGTTATGAAAAAAGAAATGACTTGCTTTCGTCATCTCTTTTTTGGTTAGTTTCAACTATTAAGACATTTACCCCCCTTTTTCAGTCATTTTTAATGTAATTTTTGTAATTTCATCGATTTTAATGTTATGGTACCTTCTTCAAATAACATTTGAGATACTACAAATGTTATCCACAGAATTCCTGAGTAGCCTATTCAATTTCTTCGCTCAGAAATTGTAATGACTGCCATTGTGAGCATATAATCTATGATTTCTGTGGCGCATATCAGCTCCATTGTTAGTTCAGCCATTTTTGGTATAACTAAAGATAATTTCCTGGTAAAGAACAGATCAAAAGTTACAAGCTGAGTTCAGGGGAATGAATGGAAGAAGCAACAATTACATTAGTAACATATCCAACAGTTTAGCTTGTCCTTTGAAATTAGTTTTGATTGCATTTCTAACATAAGTTTGCTTTGCTTTTAGAGCATTTTATTGATAATTTTTAGCGGTTTTAGGTCATCAAAATCCGCCCCCTAGTGATGAGCGACTATTGCGACGAAAGCAGAATTGGATTGTTTAAAAATATTTGTTTACAATTGTTGAAAGGCATTCGTTCGAAAGCATCCCAGATTCAGTTTCAATTATGTCATGTTCAATTACTCTCTGCTTGGTCTTTTAAAGATGCATTAAGAGGCTGACGTTTTGCTTCTAACTTGCAGGTGAGGAAGCAATGCTTGCTTGGCTTGCTGCTCAGTCGAAAATCTTTTTTCTGAAAGTATCTGAAAGTTGCTGCTTTGATGGATCAAGTACATTGAACAGCCTACATTGAAAAGTGGTCTCATTGTAAATTTTGTACTGTTGTAAACAATTATAAACACTGAGTGCAGATACTTATTGACTTACCCTTGTACACTATAATAGTATGTTATTGCAGAATTCATGAATATTAAGGTTTGTTTTAAATTGGGTAAATGTGCCACACTTTCGAAAAGATGCAAGTGTTTATGGTAGTGAAGTGATGAGTTATAAACACATGTCTAATATGGATGGTATGCAAGTGATGGCAGAGAGATCATTGAAGATGATCCTTCTCCTGGAGCATTAACAACAGTTTGAATCAAAGAAAATGTGTAGGAATTTCTTTGTAGTGGTTGTTGTGCATTCACCAGGATGATCAAGGAGCTTACTGGAAATTGTAAAACAAGCGTTTTGGATTTTAATTGAAAATTTCAGCAAAATGGAGATTGCAGTCAAACACTACAGGGACATGAAAAGATTGGCCACAATGGCTTGAGACTTCATGGCTTGCATCGAAACAGGTGATGAAACCTGAGGGCTCTTTTCACAACGGTTGCAAGTCAACAAAGTAAAAGTGATCTCTGTCAACTTGTGAGAATTGAGACAATCACATTTCACAATCATACTGGTAATCATTAATAGTTACAAGTGAAATTCTACGAGTTACAAGTGTTTCTCAGAACTTGCTTCTAGTCTAATACAGTTGTAAATTATTAGTTAGTGTTTTCTTGGAAGCTTACAGATGCATTTACATTTGACTTACTATTACAAGTTTTCAAATTTTTTTATTATATACACAGAGTTTTAAATCTAGGAAATGGCCTTTATATAGTATTGAATAGTAATAGCGAGGTTTAGTTAGATAAAGTTAAGTGATATGAATTATGACATTTAAGTTTTAAAAGCTTCAATTCCTAGGTGCAGACACAGGAAAGTTTATATAAGATGGATAAATATGGACTTCTCACGGGTTTATGAATTGAATAAGATGCCATGTTGTCGTGCATGAAGTAGGGGACAAGCCCAATGAATCAAAAGACCATGAAAACCTGGAAAAGTTGCAGAATTAACAGAGTCCACCAAGACTGTCGTTTTTTTTATTAAATTTAGCTGTTGTATAGTCTGAAGGACCAAGAGAATGGTGCAGGTTTCATGTTGGTTGAAAACCAGGATTTAGAAAACTGAAAAATTTATTTCGGCGTCTTTCTAAAACTACAGTTATGAAAATAATATTTTTTTAATGACGTGTGTCCATGAAAAACATTTTAAAATAATGCCATGTTCAAGTTTTCAAAATCAGTAATATATTTTGCGCAATTTTTTATCAAACAATGACAATTTTTATTTTCTTCAAACCATTTTTTTTAAATAGCTAAAAAAAATATTATTAAATGGAGATCTTAGCATAAAGGACACTTAAGAGAATGACGCACGTGTCATGTTCGTTGAATGCCGGATTTTTGCGAAAATTTAAAAGACCTTAAATGTTTTCGGCGATTTCCTTACAACTACAATTGTACTCCATATATGAGTATCCAAGTATATACGTATGGAGTAATATTCATAGTACAGTGAATGTTATGGAATGCTGCCCGCTGAAACGGAATTTTCAGTAGAAAAAAAAAATATTGAGTGACCATAGTAACAAAGTAGTGGTGTGAAGAAATGGCACAGACTTTCCCGTAATAATTTTCTATTTCCTTTGGTCTCATCCAGCTAAACGAACTTGCCATATACTCATGCCAACTGCCATCTATCACCGCCCAAAATTCATTTTTTTAAAAAATTTTCTTAATTTTTTGGTTTTCTAATAGAAACGAAATATTATTTTAAGAATATTAAAGATCAGTAAAACTCATCAATGAACCCCATTCTTCTTATAACTGCAAAATTGAAGGTAGATTTTTCTTTCATAATAATTTTTGATAAAATTTGTTCTCCATAGACAGTTCTTTCATTAAGGTCATGTAGTTTTTGAAAATTCTACAACTTTTCGCGAAATATTGTGAGCAATATGTGCAATATTAAAAAATTAGAAAAACAAAATTTTCTCCAAAACGGCTCCAAATGTTTTCTTTAAATTTTTGGTAAGAATAGAATGAAATACACTTATAAAGATGGTGTAGGTCCTATTTTCACGGTTAACTTTGAATTTTCGAAGATTTTGAAAACGTTTCGGGCATACCGAAACATGCTCGTTCTTTTCTCCTTCACATTTCAACCTGATTTGTGATGAACATTCCTTACCAAGAATATGGCATAAAGCCACTGTTATTCCAATCCCTAAAAAAGGAAAGGACATGACAATTCCTTCAAGTTCCGCCCAATCTCGGTCTCAAGCTGTGTGTGCAAGCTTTTAGAACGAATGGTAAACAAATGTGTGGTGTGGCTCCTGGAACAAAATCTATTTACTCTTTCAGTGTGGTTTCAGGAAGATCCATAGACCACGTAGTCTCCCTTGCCACGCACCTTCACATCCTTCGTGCTACAACACCTGGTCGCAATTTGTTTCTGCATAGAGAAAGCGTATCACACCATCCGGAGGTACATTTTTCGCACCTTGCATTTTGGGGCGTTCGAGAGAGACTCCCTTCGTTTCTAGTACATTTTCTTTCATCGAGATATTTCCGCGCCCGCCTTTGTGACGTTATACTCAAGTCACCAGTTAGAAAACGATGTTCCCCAGGGATTAATTCTGAGCGTCACTGTTTGCCATTGCTATCAATAGTATCGCATCGGTAATTCGAGAGCCAGTGAAAGCATCGCTCGTCGTTGATGACTGCTAAACCAGGTGTGTTCGAAAAGAAACGGGAATTTTCATTTTTATGAATCAATGTTATTCATTCGTCAACATCAAATTTATCACCTTCAAAGTGGTCACCATTAGGTATTATACACTTATGCCAGCGCTTCTTCCATTCCCCGAAACACTTCTGAAACTCCATCGTTGGAATAGCATGGAGCTCTTTTAGCGAAGCGCTTTTAATCTCATCTGTGCTTGAAAACCGACGTCCTTTTAAGGTTATTTTTAATTTGGGGAAAAGAAAAGTCTCACGGGGTCATATCTGGCGAATACGGAGGCTGTGGCATCATTACGGTGTTGTTTCTCGCCAGAAATTCACGTACAAGCAATGACGTGTAAGCAGGTGCATTATCGTGATGCAGAAGCCAAGAATGGTTTTCCCATAAATCCGGGCGTTTTGTTTTTCGGATTGCTTCCCGCAAACGGCGTTAAACTTGTAGGTAGTACTCATTATTAATCGTTTGACTTTTGACAATGTCATAATACATTATGCTCTTAAAATCGAAGAAAACTGTGAGCATAACCTTCACATTCGACCGCACCTGCCGAGCTTTTTTTCGGTCTTGCTGATCCAGGATGCCTCCACTGGGACGACTGAATCTTTGTTTCGACGTCGTACCCGTACACCCATGTTTCGTCTCCTGTTATGACACTTTTAGTAGCTCTGCATAGTTTTTGACTTCTTTTAGCGAATCTTGAACACCTTCCATTCCCCGCCGATTTTGTTCGAAATTCAACACCTTTGGCACAAATTTTGCTGTGATACGTTTCAAACCCCAAACATCCGAAAATATTTCATGACATGAGCCATTTGATGTACCAACATCTTCAGCAACTTCCCTGACTGTAATTCGGGGATCCTTCATAATTATTTCTTGCGCCTTTTCAACATGTTCAGCTGTTGTTGATGTGGTGGGGCGTCTAGAACGCTCGTCGTCTTGCACGTGTTCACGGCCATCTTGGAACCGCTTGTACCACTGATAAACCCTTGTTCATAGCAGACTCGCCAGCAGATCATAGCAGACTCAATAAATGCAATTTTCAACATTTCTAGAACGTTTCATTTTATTACGTTTTATAGCAAAATTTAATGCAAATACTGGATTCAAGTTCTCCACCTCAAAATCCAGTTGCATGCACTTGTATAAAATTTATCATCCTGCTCTTTTTTGGGTGGAGGGGATCATCAACTTCCATTCGTCGAATCTGCCATTTTCCTTGGCCTGGCATTCGACCAGAGTTTAACATGGCGAAAGCATATTGAAAACTTGAAGAGACGATGTGTATCACCATTGAACCTCCTTCGCACCATTACTGGTAGATCGTGGTGTGCAGACCGAGTATGTCTTTTGCGCCTATGTATGACCATCATCCGTCCTATCTTAGATTAAGGTTGTATTGTGTATGAGTCAGCTTCCCCATCGACCCTCCGGTCATTGAATACTATACACAGTGCCGGGATACGGATCAGCACAGGCCCCTACCGCACGAATCGCAATGAATGCCTCTTACCCGAAGCGGGTGAACAATCCCTGAGCCGAAGGCGAAGTATTGTACTCGGCTCATGGTACTCAAGTATCAGCTATAATACTACTTCGCGCCAAGCAGTTCTTCGCCCAAGTCACTGGACATCGTTCGCACTCAGACCATCGTGGTGTCCGTCTCCACATGCTTTTGCAGAAACTCTGTATAAAACTCCCCATCACTTGGTTTTTTGTTGGATCCCGGGTCACGTTGGATAATAGGGAACGAAATTGCTGACCCGGCAGCAAAGGTCGCCACTAAGAAAACTTAAGGTCGCCATCGTCACAGTCCCAAGAGATACCAAGCTGGTTATTAAACGTATTCTCAGAGCATGGCGAACAGTGTGGCAGAACTCGGATTTTAAACTCACGATAGTCAAGGACTCTATTAAGCCTTGGTCTTCATCTTGTGAGCCTAGGCACGAAGAGATAATTTTGACACTCCTTCGGATCGGTCACTTCCATTTCTTACACGGAGATCTCCGTGGTGACCCACCGCGTACTTGCGATAGTTGCGAGACGGATCTTACCGTGTCCTGCACTGTTCTAAGGTAACGGATAGCCGCCGAAGGCTTCGCCTTGCTGTCTCTTTAGCACAGGTACTTGGAAATGCTGAATCTTCTCTCTTTTTAGCTTCTTACGAGAGACTGACATTTACAGCATAATCTAAGAGAAGAGTATGCCAATTATTTGGCATTTAATTGGAGATTTTAAAGTGTTTATCTAACTCTTTTCTGTCAACCCCGTTTTTAAAATAATTGAACACGTTTATTTTCAGTTTTACTCACATTTTACTTGGCGTTAAAAAGTTTTAGTCTGGCACTGCTATAGTTCTCTTAAAATAATTTGACATGGGCGACAATGACCTTAGCTGTTGAAGCATCTTTAAGCCATCATCATCATAATCATTATCAGAGTTGCCTAATCAATTAGATTGTGAAGGCACTCTTGTAAAGTGCTAATAATGCTGTAGAGAAATTATTTTCCTGTATATCATGGCTCTGAACTATGTTAAGTACCAAACTTTTCAATCCTTATAAATAAATGGCCCTCATTCTTAGGCAGCTCTGGTTCTGAACCAGTGTGTGTGTGTGTGTGTGTGCGTGTGCGTGTGCGTGTATTGCTATCATTCAGTCAATTCCCACCCCAGTTCGCGGTAACCGTTAAAATTATTTTTGTTCGCAGAACCGGTTTTTATAGATATTAACGTTATTAGGTCGACTATTTCACTCATGAAATTAAAACCATTGGTGTTTAAGTATACATAAAATGCCCCAATCAGGGCGGTGTATCTAAAAAATTCTCGCTTTTTTATCCGATTTTTCTTCCCGCTCGTCCCTACAGTCCAGTGCTAAACTGCGATTCATCTATCTTAGGAGACAGTATGTATCAAGCGCTTTGTTGACGTGCTAAAATCGCGTATGTACTATGACAAATCCTCTTCGAATTTAACATGCTATGTTATTTTCAATATTTAGAGCATTTTGGAACTCTTTTGGACGTAATTTCATTCGTGGAATAGTCCACGTGCGCTTTGGAAATTCTCACATAAACCCCCTCCTCGCTTCGCGAATTGGGATTTCTCGGCAATTTCCAAAGCACTCGTAGTATTACCAATGATAAATTTAAATGTTGCATGCAATAATATATCCGATAAATGTTAAATAATTGTATTTGCTACATGTGTGTTTTGTTCACAGCTGGCTTAGGTGAATTTCGCATTAGGGATTTAAATGATGAAATCAACAAATTGTTACGTGAGAAAGGTCACTGGGAAGCACAAATACGAGAATTGGGTGGACCTGACTACGCTAAAGTGGGACCTCGTATGCTAGATCATGAAGGAAAAGAAGTTCCTGGCAATAGAGGATACAAATACTTTGGTGCTGCAAAGGATTTGCCAGGTAAAAAGGATAAGTGTTAAATTTCAATAGATGTGAATTAACGTCTTTTTAAATTATTTTTATCAACTTCAAATCTAATGTTCAATCACTATTGTTTTTAAAGGTGTAAGAGAGTTATTTGAACAAGAACCTCCTGCCCCGCCTAGAAAAACGCGTGCTGAATTGATGAAAGATATAGATGCTGATTATTATGGTTACCGTGATGACGATGATGGGCTCCTTCTACCTTTGGAACAAAATGAGGAAAGAAGAGGTAAAATAATACAACCTTTATATATGTATGATTTTCTGAAGAGTTAAAAATCATTTAAAAACAGTAATCATAATTTTATTTTGTAGAATATGAATAACTTTGTGCTTGAGCATCTATCACTCTAGCTTTGTACACTTGTAAAGAAGCCACTTTTTACTTTCCCGTATAATACATAAATACGGAGTAATATATGCAGTGTAGAGAAAGTTAAATAATGCCGCGCGAAAAAACAGCGAATTTTCGACAGAAAAAATTCATTGCCGCGCCTTGATAACGAAAAAGTGAATAAAAAGGTGGCAGGATCTGTCGGGTGTGAGAAAAATCAACGACGCGTAAATCAGCGAAACTTGGTGCATCTATTCTTGAACTCAATTGGAAACACTGAAAGAAATAATAGTAGATTGTTCAAGTTCGATTCACGAACTGCACCTCAGAGCTCTGATCTGTAGCAATCAGTTTATATGTAGAAATTAGAGTTCACAAAAACAATTTTAAATCTCACATTTTGCACCGTGCAGGGGGAATGCCAGATTGAAACATGCGCAAACATTTGCTTACATTGAACTGGAAACGCCTCACTTTCCGATGTCAAGATTTTAATCATGAATTTACACAATTTTAAAGATAAGATCAGATTTTTCTACGTACAGATTGGGTACAGTTCAAATGACTTCCTTAATTCAAAACTAAATGAAACGTGTCATGAACCTACAAGTCATGTATTGACTCCTTTCAAACATTCAGTTCGTTCCCAGTCCCTTTTTATCTTTGACCCGGCGTTCCCTTTCTACTCAAAATTTCGCATCTGCTACTGCTCTTTCTCTGTTCTGTCTTTCTACTCAGAATTGCCTGTTATCAGATTAATTCGCAAGCACGACCTCTCCTCGGATACGAATTCTTAGCAGTCGTACGCTTGTCGCTTTCACGCACTTCAAAATCCCATCATAATACCGTTTCTTTACCTTGCGCGGCGCGCAGGGGGCGTCGCGGGCGCCGCGCCGGCGTCGTAGACTTCGCCAGGCGGGATTTCCTAGCGCGCTGCGTCGACCAAATTCCAATATCCAATTTTCTTTGCTCTTGCATCTTCTGCTACGAAACTCGCTCGTTCACACGCTTCTTATTATTATTTTTCTCCTTCTTTTTCTCCTTCTTTTTCTTCTTTTTCTTCTGCTTTTTCTTCTTTTTTCTTCTTTTTTTCTTCTTTTTTTCTTCTTCTTTTTTCTTCTTCTTTTTTCTTCTTCTTTTTCTTTTTCTTCTTTTTCTTCTCCTTTTTCTTTTTCTTCTCCTTTTTCTTTTTCTTCTCCTTTTTCTTTTTCTTCTTTTTCTTCTTCTTTTTCTTCTTTTTCTTCTTTTTCTTTTTCTTCTTTTTCTTTTTCTTCTTTTTCTTTTTCTTCTTCCTTTTCTTTTTCCCTGTTGTAGAACTCGTTTAACGCCGTCGAGACCAGTCCTCGCACGTAATGAATAACTAACGGCTTTTTTAATAGTTCTTGGGGTCGCTCTCGGCACGCATTCGTTTCACGATATAAAAGAAAAACATTCAGTATCACTGTCATGCCTACGTAAATTCTGCTCGGAAATTCTACCACTACTCCTTACAATGTATTTTCAAGTTTCACAATGTTCTGCTCGAACTCTTAAATTTCACTGTTAATTCAAATGTCCTTTTTATGGCGGATCTCACACAAGTTTTCCAGTACATAACTGCACTCATTAATTCAAAAATCTTTTCCTTCCTGACCGCCTTAAGTATTCAGAAGTGTGAACACTAGTAGTGCCTGAACCATACGTACGATTTTCCCCCAAAATGGATATTCCCCGGTCGATCTGCCTCCACTGCAGGCTCCGCGATTTTGAAAAACTTTGTTCCAAATTTGGGACACTTTACGTAAAACCCCGGACATTTTCAAAATCTTCTGAAAAAACGGCTCCAATTTTTTCTTCAAATTTATAGTAAGTATAATAGAGAAAAATACACATAAAACACACATAATAAAGGTGGCGTAGGTCCAATATTAGCGTCAACTCTGAAGTTTCGAAAATTTTGAAATTTGTCGGGCCTCTTCCTACAACTATAAAACTGAAGATAGAATTTTCCTTCAAATAAAATTTGTTCTTCATAGTAAGTTCTTTCATTAATGTGAGACAATTGTTCTGAAAATTTTAGTAGTTTTCACGTAATATTGTGAGCAATATGCGCAATTTGAAAAAATTACAAATTCAAGATATTTTTAAAAATTACTCGAATTTTTTTCTTTATATTTTTGGTAGGGATAGTGCAAAATTCACTCTATAAGATGACATAAACTCCATATTGCTCTATTCTTTTATTTTAAATATTTAAAAAAAGGAATTTTTTTACCTTTCTCACAACGCTAATATTTACATCGGTGCCATTTGTTCACTTTATTATATTTATGAATGCATGTGCTTTAAATAATGACATATAAAGTTTGAAAACTCAACTTCTCCAAATCTGTTCTTCAAACTTTGCGAACGGGTAGTGCTAATTGTATAGTGCTAAACTTTAGTTGACGTAGTTCATTTTGGGATTTTCCCCCCCATATTACACATATGTAATTTATTAAGTTAATCATACGCTGTTAATATGCACATTTCCAGCAATTTGTAAACACTATTGTATTTGTGCGTTAAGGAGCTTAAAATGGCTTTTAATGAAGTGTTCGAAAACTTATCAGTCTTTTGTGAAAATGAGCTTCAAATTTTGAATTTACAGTAGCGCTTAAGCACCATTCTCTTAACAGCTGCAATTTTTTCAAAGAATATTGCAATATAGGACAAGGTTTTACTCTTCTTTAATAGTCTTAAAATAATAAATCTGTTCTACTATTTGTACCCCCCCCCCCAACAATAGAATATTAAAAAACATATTTTGGGCAACGATAGATAGCAGCCGGCAAGAGTATGCGGCAAATTCATATAGCTAGTCCAGACCAAAGGAAATAGAAAACTAATTCAGGAAAGTGTGCCATTCTGTAGCACCACTAGTTTATTATTGTGAGAAAGACATTTCATGTACATTTCAAAAATACACTACGTTGATGGATGTGTGTTCTGTTCAGCTATTCAACGAGCAGTTTCTGAGTGGAAAAGTAAAAAAGAAGCAGCACTCAATTCAACTGAGGAAGGTAGTGCTGCAAATGAAGAGGAGGAAGAAAATATATATGCAGTTCCTGATCATGATGTAAGTGTACTTTCACAAAATGTTATAATAAATTTGCATCATCCTGTCTTATGGTATCAAACTATGTGAATGTTGCTCTAGCGTTTTGTTGATATGGTATGTAGTGAAACTATTAAAAAAACTGATGGTCCTCAGACTATTTTTAATCGTAATTTTAAATTATATTAATTATTATAACAAGAACTTTTTGAGTCAATTCAAATTTTGTATTTATTGTAAATAGAACTAAAATTCACAGCAATGGATAAAATAGCAATTTTAAAAGACTGTAAATTGAAATAGGCATTAAAACTACTAGCTGTGGAAAATATATTCCTGGAGGATCAATTTCAAAGAAAACTGAATAAGCTTGCAGAGACAGCACACTTCACCTTCGCTCGACGGCTCGTATTTAAGGGCGGAGACCGAAGGTCACACAGGCGC